AATTTCATGTCATTAGCACCTCTAGTAATATATTTACTGAGAAAAATGTTGACGTGTTCAATACTTATTTTACCCGCTGTACATTGAGCAGAACTTTGAGGTACTCTGAGAATAACACCGAGCAATGAGGTTGTGTGTGACATTTTTTTTAAGGTTTGAACAAAATGGCCACAAATGATCATCTTAGTCTAAAACTGACACATGAAAGACAGCGGGTGATACGCATTACTTCTAGAAATGTTAAGCTTTTCATTTAAATGTATGAATAAAACTTTAGAATGTAGTCACGAGTCAGTTTTGTACCTCATAGCTGACCTTACTTCCTCCTTGATTTCAAACATTCCTGTTGTCCCCCCTGTTGTCATTTTTGCTCTTATCCCTGACTTTTTTTTCTCCTCCCTCTCACTTGCCATCAGTTCTCTTTTTTTTCTGTTTCAATAAACAGAGGAAGTCTCCTCCGTTGCTCTGTGGACACTGCGTGGGTTCCTGCTTGACACACTCAGAGCAACGAAAGGAGATAGTGGAACCCGAGCAAGAGTGAGCCCAGGAATCCACAGAACAGTGGCTGCTTGTTTATATCCGTGTATGATTCACCATCTGTGTCATGATTGACATGACAAATATATTTAAAAAAGAAACGATGAGAAGGAGGAAAAAATCGAGTAGGAGGAGAGACCGTCTGGTTTTATGTGATTTACAGCAGCTAAGCTTTGTCTGTTTTGGAAAATGATTGCTTCAGGAATTGAAGAGAAAAAGATAGGCGAGAGAGAGCATGAGAGAGAGAGCGAGAGAGGAGAGAGAGAGAGAGAGAGAGAGAGAGAGAGAGAGAGAGAGAGAGAGAGAGAGATTAAAGTGGTCAAAACAGATTAAATTAAAACTGTAGAAAGAGCAAAATTAGAACTGAAGCTTGGACATGGAGAAGGGGGCGGGGTGAAATAAACAGAATAAAACAAGATGAGGGGAGGAAAAAAGGAGGAGGGTAGAGAAGGAAAAAGATTATTCACGGTCACAACCAGATTGCATTATCACACAGACCGAGAGCGAGGATGGGGGAGATCGAAGAGAGAGGAGACAAAAAAAAAAGAGGGAGAGAAATTAGGAAATATAAACACGTCAATGCCACAGCTGGAGTTTTATCCTCAGGCTGTATCTGAATCTGTCAGTTTTACACAATAAGACATTAATGCACATGACAAAAAAATGGTAGCGATTAGAAGTATTAAACTTGCACAGGATAATAGTCTATTGTGTTACAATCACATTTACAATCATAGGTTATTCCAACTGAAATATTCCTTTAACAAAATGCTGTCATTTAAAAGTTTGCATACAATTTATCAAATTATAATAAACACAAATAACTGAGTGCTTTTTTTGTTTTTACTACTTAAAAGTTTTTCCTTTGTTTTTGTTTGTTTTGTTTTTTTCTCAGAGACACCATCTTTTATGTAACCATTTTAAAGTAAGACTATCTTGTGTTGTGAAATGACAAAGTTGTTGTTTTGGTCAAACTTTGGAAATGATGTCATGTATCCACAAAGCAAAATTATTCTGGCCCAGATCTAACCCAAACAGTACACTAATACTCGGGCCAGATACCGCAAGTGATGGTGGTCTATGTGATTTGCCATAGGTGGTCCATGTATGGCCTGGCACCACATAAAGCAAAACACAAGCAGGCCAGTTATGGCACTGACAGATTTAGGCCGCATGAACCAAAACACAYCTGGGCCAGTTGTGGCATGCCATCATAACCTGGCCCACATCCAGTTGACAAACCACTTGCCATGCCAGCAGTCAGCCAGCAGTGCCAGAACTGACCTACATCTGTCTGCTGTGTAGGTGTTGGTCCGTAAACACTTATGCCCCTTTTCCACTAAGTGCCTCTACAGCACGGTTCAACTTGGCTCTTCACAGTTCCTTTTTCAATAGCAAGGATTTGTGGAACCAGCCAATTTTCAGWACCTACTTCACTGTGGTTCCAAGTGTACCACGCTGGTCTGAAAATGTGACATTGTTAGACTGTCACTGATTGGTTAGTTGGTGGAGTCACTGGTTTCATAAGAGCTTCTCTCACAACAACCCYATCTGCCATTTGCAATAACAACACTACCATGTCCTCCATTGTTGTGTTGTGTATATTTTCAGGTCTTCTTCTACTATGTRTAATGGTGGCTGGCAAAMAACTTAATGGAGCATAACCACGACCAGCTGGTAAGGCACGTGACATCGTTTTCCCCAACTTTACGATGAACTCACCCACTAGAGCTGTWACTGAAGTGTAATGGAAAACCATTTCAGTGCGCTGAACAGAGTTCAACCAAGCTGAACTGTGCTGTAGAACTACTGGTGGAAAAGGGCTATTACTAGTTGCAGATCAGTCTCAGCTACTACCACACCAGGTTTTAGCTCAGTATCTCTGGAGTTTACTGAGTTATAGGCATTTTTGTGTTGATAATGTCGATGAGCTGTGGTGGTRGTCTTGAATTGTTTTAGTTTTAGATGTACATTCAGTGATTGCRTRCCAAGAGTTTCATTCAAATCTGTCCACTTGGTCATGAGATATTTTACTAACGATACGTAMAAATGAACACACAAARGTGAGCATCATCAAGTGCTAACCCRMTTTTTTCTTTTCTTGCTAATCCAAATGTGTGACAGTCATTAAAAGATACTGTTRTTCAGTGTGTGAAGAATTTAAGGTTTTAAATCCTCTGTGTTCCACCTTTGTGATAAAAGAAAACAGCTCAAATTTTCGAAGTTCTGTGTTTAGCAGCAGACCCTGACTTCCTGGCAGTCTAGTCAGTTTGGACTTCAGGAAATAATGATAAAACATAAGGGAAGACACCAAATATTTCTGGTCAAACACATTTTTCAGCATCAAATACAGTTTAATTCTCTCTGTGCCTCACAAAACCAGACTGATGTTCACATTAAACCAAATTATGAAGCATTTAAACTCAAATGAAGGTCTGTTTGTTTTTAAGCCCTCTTCCTCTAACGCCTTTTAATAGACCTAAGTGCAGCTGGTAAAAATAGAGAAGAGGATTAACGTGAACATTATGTCACTGTAAAATTTTAATATTTATAAGTGCAAATGTAAAAATGCAAATTTAACAAAACATGTCTTAAATCATGCAGGACTAAAACTAACCTAAAATTGTTTTAGTAAAGACGTTGACTTTCTTAATTTATAAGCACACACACAAGCATGTACACTCTTGTGCACTAATGTTGTCCTGAGGGAGGAAACTCTTGTACTGGGTGTGTATTGTTCTGCGTGCTTACATTTTTCAGCATGTAAAAATCAACTTCTTTAAAACAAGCACATCACCTAAGGCCTTAAAAGTTTATTGTTTTACATGGAGATATTTTTAAGATTAGACAACTAGTTGAATTTTGGAGTCAACCCTATTGAAGCTAACTGACTGTAGACAACATTAAAATGATTATATCTCAAGCYGTTTTGCAGATATTGGGCACAAATTTAGTGTGGTAGTAGCTGAGACTGTGTGCCAACATGTACTCTGAGCGCTACCTGATCATGCAAGCTCTGTTCTTTAAATGGTGTCATTAGCTGTTGGAGTAACCTCTGTCCGTCTGTTAGCAAAATATCTCATCAAKCRTTAGACAGACTTAATGCAACTCTAAGAAAGTAATCATTTAATGTTCATCTACAGCTTGATTACTTTTCTGAGTCAATCACATTCAAGACGACCACCATGACAAAAGTGTAAAAACTTWGTGATTTTTAGATATTTACTTAAAGGGATCCACGATTAGTTGTAACATTAAACTTTATTTGATATATTCTTTTGAACAGTCACTGTTCAAAAGAATGTRCCAACACAGACGAGCTACATCTAATGGCCAGAACTCTGCAGTTTTCACTCATTTACAGGCCAGCGGTCACTCTTTCAGAGATGAGGATGTTCTCATTCTTGATAGAGAGGAACGTTGGTTTGAGAGAGGAGTAAAAGAAGCCATTTTTGTGAAGAAAGACCGTCCATCATTAAACAGAGGTGGAGGCCTCCGTTTTCAGTTGTCCCCCTCCTACAGTGCGGCTATTGCCAGTATCACTCCATCCCCTGTTAACAATAGGTGTTAATTAGGTGTCAACGATAGCCATGTGATGTGAGTATCAGTCACATGGAGGCAGGGCTTAAAAGCCTGAATTTTGCCTGAAACTCTCAGACTGAAGAAGTCTCTTGGAGGAGAGACGAAACGTTTCATTAGAGAAGAACTTGTCCAGAAGACCTATACAATTTTTTTCTTTTTGATTTTTTACCTGGATTACTGAGATGCATCAGGACATAATGTGGCAAAATGCAGCTTTGTATCTTTTCKTGTATTGTTTTGGTTTCTGTACAGACTTTAAGTATTATTTCAAGTTTATTAATCACGTTGAATGACTGAAATGTTTACTGGGAAAACTGAATAATAAAAMAACGACTCACCTCTCGCCGTGTGTCTGCAGGTAAAGGATGACGGCAGCAGCAGGTGTACTTACAGGCTTGGCCAAACTAAAACGCCAGGACTCGTCCCGCTCTCAGCATCGGCCCCCGCCTACAGCAGGGCTGACCTCTGAGGGTGCCCCCAGGTGATGGTGATTTAGTTTCATTTGAAAATAATTAAAGCACAAATGAGCATTTCAGTCATTTAATTTAAGAAACTGGAAATTTAGTGAAAATCTTGTGGGATATTGTACAAAATCTTTTGTTCCATCCATCCATTATGTACCGATTGTTCCAGAGTCAGGTTGCGGTGGCAGCTGTTTGAACAGGGAGGRCCWGACTTCTCTTTCCCCAGCCACCTTTTCCAGGTCTTCTTGGAAGATTCCAAGGAGTTTCCATGCCAGATGAGAGACACCTTCRAGCATCCCTGAACTGATGTTTGGTGTGTAGACACAAACAATTGTCAGAGCCTGTTCCCCAGGCAAAGGCAGCAAAGCTACCCTCTCATCTACAGGGTAAAACTCCAACACACAGGCACCCAGTCGGGGGCTCATAAGTAGACCCACACCTGCTTGGCACCTCTCACCAAGGGCAACTCCAGAGTAGAATAAAGTCCAGCCACTCTCAAGGAGATTGATTCCTAAGCTTATGGGTTGAGCCCAACTTTATCTAGTTGGTACCACTCAACCTCGCACACAAGCTTCTCCTTCCCCACCAGAGAGTTCCATGTCCCAAGAGCCAGCTTTGGTGAGCCAGGGTCAGAGCGCCAAGGTRCCCACCTGTGGCTACTGCCCATGACATCATGCACCTGACTCATATGGCCCCTCCTGTAGGTGGCGGGCCCACAGGAAGGCAAACCCACATAGCTCATTTGGGCTGAGCCCGACCAGGCTCCATGGGTAGAGACCCAGCCAGCAGGCGTTTGCCTACCAACCCCTCTCCCAGGTCTGTACCCAGGGTGGGTTCCAAGTAACCCACGTCCAGGCAAAGGACACAGCGTTCATGGTTTTTGTCTTTTGAGTCYTTCTCTGTGTGGCCTGTCACCTAGGACCAAATTTATACACAAATATGTTGAATACATTCCAGCATTTCAYCTTTGTCTTCCAATGATTAAATGCTCCTAAAAGTAATTTGCTGTTTTTACTCTAGAAAACGGAAGCGTCGCACCGATGTTGTGGTGGTACGTGGTAGGCTCCGCCTCTACTCAGCCTCTGGGTTTTTCCTCTTCCTGGGACTGATCATCTTAGCAGTAGGGATCGGGATGGCAACACTGGGTTACTGGCCACACGGTAAAGTCGTTCCTACAGGAGGAGGACACAAGGCGGAGAAAGATGTGACCAACGCAACTCGTGARGTTCAAGGTAACTAAACAGGGTGGCTACAACAAAACAACAAAAACACTTCATCACTCTGACTTTGCTTTAATTTTAGGTCCACAATCCCAGCATACTGGTGGTGCTTTGATGCGGTTTCTGGAACAACATCTTCACTCTGAGAGGATGAAGATGCTGGGACCKTTTACCATGGGGATTGGGATCTTCATCTTCATCTGCGCTAATGCAATACTCCATGAAAACCGGGACAGAGAAACTAAGGTTGATCTACACACAAACTGCAACTCTCTCATAGAGAAAAACATGAGCTCTGCCATCATCTTTAATCAACAGTTTCCTATAACTAACATGCAGATCTAATTTCTCCCAACCTGCTTCCCGCTGCTTCTTTGCAATTTACTTTTGATGACATTTTCTCTGCTCATAATGCCTCTTCTTCCTCCTTTTGATTTGATTAAGCCACTCCTCTTTCCATCTCCTCCCTACTTGTACAAATATGCATTCAAAGACACGAGCATCCAACGTGAAATGAACTTGTTTGAAACTACTTTATTATGATGCCGTGTAATGGGATGCTGCAAATATTTATGCAGGGAATTTATTGAAAATGGTTACTTCTGCTGCTGCTTATCTGATTTTTCTTCTGCTTTAGATAATCCATATGAGAGACATGTACTCGACTGTCATCGACATCCATCGCCTCAGGCAGAAGGAGCAGAAACAATACCTTCACCGCAGCAGCGTGTATGGCAGAGAAATGGGCGATCTGCGAGCGTTTGGCGCCGACGCCACCGCACGTTTGGCCAGCAACTCCCTCTTGGCGTTTCCTTCTCGAACCGGGAGTCAAGGATCGGCTGAGGAGGAGGAGGTGCTGCTGGGAGAAGAGGAGTTCCACAGGCGTAGCGAGAAGGCCAGGTTGGATTGTAGCTTTGCCGGGTTGCTGGCGCCACTTTACAAGGATCGTTCTTTCTGTGGTCCTGGGTTTGGGTTGGCTCGTTCGGATCTGACGCACCACCAGTGGCCGGTGGACGGAGATGGGGAGAGGAGAGGACACCACGCGGGCTCGATCGTCTCCTCCTCCATCTCTGCGTTCACGCTCCCCGTCATAAAGCTCAACAACTGTGTGATTGATGAGCCAGAAATGGAAGCGATCACCGAGGAGGACAGGGGAGTGGAGAGACGAGATGGAGAGAGGCCAGTGCCTCTCTGCTCCATGGAGTCTCTGGTGGTGCCTGCAGCATCGGCTGCGAAGGCCTCTAAACCGCTGGGCTTGAAGCGCAGTAACTCTGCGTCGTCTTCCTCTCGGAGCTCCTCTTTCTCCTCCTGCACCCTCTCCCCTGCTCCCTCCTCTACCTCAGGCTGCTGGCTTTCCCCCGGAGTGGCGAGGAGTGACTTTGGCTCCAATTCCTCCCTGCACAGGCTCAACAGCTATTCGAAATCTCTGGACTTGGAGCGCAGGCCGAGCATGCTCAGCGTGCATCAAGAGCAGCGGAAGCACCCCAGCTGGCCCCGGCTGGACCGCAGCAACAGCAGCCGCAGTCACAGCGGAAACTGGGGCAGCAGCAGAGGCTACACGCGGCTGGAGGACCGGGAAGACCGGGAGGAACGAGGGGAGCGGCCGTCTGATGCGGCGGCGACCGCGATGGTGCGGCGCGACTTCAGCAAGCGCGAGAAACTGCTGATGATATCGAGGTCGCACAATAACCTGAGCTTCGAGCAGGACGAGTTCAACAACAGCACGCTGAAGAGAGGCAGCTCAGAGACTCGCTTCTGACCTGGTCCATGAAGTGTTCTCCGCCCATCAGAAGGCGAGTTTAAGAAATAAAGTACTGGGAAAGCAAAATCAAAAACGGTTTAAATCCTTTCCTTTTTTAAACAGAATAGTAGRAGTAGTGAGAAATGTTTGAACCTGCACAATAAAAGGTTTGCACATCATGACTGCCTACTGTACAACCATAGAGGTGCTGTCTTACATCTAKGAAACATGTGAAGGAAGACGTTCCCTCCAGGAATCAATAAAATAGCAACACATTACATAAGCAGTCTGCTCCAGTCTTTACCAGTTTTAGTTKAACTTTGATGTTAAATAAAGTTGGTGGCCTGTACAATTCAACACAGAGGCCCACATTGCCCTGCAGGCATGTCTTACTGACCTTTCCCAGGAACTGTAGAAGAAAAAAATGGCTGAAACCCTCCACCCCACCCCCCCACACACACACACCAAAAAAAGGCACCAGTTTGAGTTTTTTGTCTGTCTCTGCTTTACTGGCATTTTAATGAAATGTAATTAGATTGCACTCTGGATTATTCATTTTTCTTTACCGCCTTGAAGCTTCATTAAAAACAATTACTTGCATTATTGGTCATCTATTCTTTTAAATTGTCCAATTAAGTTTTAATTCTTAARGCGCTTTACCCCGATCATAAATTATTTTTGACTAACAATGAGGATCAATTAAACCTAGAATAACAACAGGCAAAAAACTGGCCTTTTTATTTCCTTCGCCTTACTGGGCTGTTTGAAAAAAACAAACAAACGACTGGTTAAACACGATTGGCATTAAGAGTTTCTGTGGGGAAATGTGCTCCTAAGCTACTGTCACAAAGATTTATATATGTTTAAATGTGTGTAGCTGAAATCTAAACAAAGGTCAGTATCACATCCACCAGAAAGGATATCAAGTAAGTCATCACAAAAAAGATTTTATTATTATTATTAATTTCTTGGCCTTAAATTTTCTTCTTTTATTTTTTATTTTTTCAAAATCACTGTATGAGGAATTTGTTACTCATGTACCAACTAGGGTTAACTTTTCATTGGAATTAAGGGAATTAGTCAAGATTATGCAAAATAAAAGCATAAAGGCAGGGCAGTGGTTAGAACTGTCGACTCTGCAAAAAGTTTCAGGACCGTCTCTCTGCGTCTTTGATTGGAGTCTGCATGTTTTCTCCTGGTACCCTTGATCTCCAGTGACCCAAAACACTCATGTTAGATTCATTGATAACTAAATTATCTCTATGCTGCAGCATATAATGGGAGAATGGGAGTTTTTCATTGTCACCGTTTCTTTATTTCACTGACAATGGTTTTAATTTTCAATGCCAAATCTCTTTTCCGATGTCAGTACTGTACAGCTCTACAGGACCCAGAAAGAAAAAGCGGGTTCTGTAAGTCAAGCGAAGGTCTAAAATCTCTGTCAAGGATCATGAGCCTACAATACTTAAAAATTTTACTCCTATTAATTCCCATTAATTCCCATGTAAAGTTTCCAAAGTTGAAAATTCCCGTAATTCTTCAACCCCTAGTGCCAACATATACAATTTCAATCAATGGTACTGTCTGTTTGTGGTCCTGATCCAAGGTAGTCTCTGGTATGTGTTTTAGACCCAACCTTCACCAACCTATGTCATTTTTTTCTGATGCATTTGCATCTCCTGCCCAAATGCTTCTCATTTTGACAGAAAAAAAAACAGAGCTGTAGTGTAACAACCTATATGACACTTTTGGCTGTGTCCAAATTCAGGAGCTTTATCCTTCAAAGGCCAAATTTGAAGGCAGATTATGTCACAGCAGTGCAACAAAAGCTGTCCAAATTCGAAGGCACGTCCACTTGCGAATGTGTCCTCCTTTTACACTGATTTCAGGGAAGGGTTTGGTGTATCCTTCACAGCCTACCCTATCCCAAGAAGCATTGCAGGCCGACTGGGAGACTGTTGTGCTTGTAATGACCGACGAAGCAGGAGACAAATATTTTGTTAAATTTCGATCTTCGTCACTTCAGAGCGGTAATAAAGCTGAAGTTTAGACCGTCCAAATTCACAGCCACTTTCTTTTAGTCTTCGTGGTCGACTAAGGACCCAGCCCACATTGGCCGGTTCCTTCGAAGGAAGCAGCCCCTGAATTCGGACAAATCCTTAGAGTTGCTCGATTCATCTGTTTCAGGTTTGGTTCGTCAGACACTTTAAAGGTGATCTCCATGTTACTACTTCTGTAATTGTTGTTGGTAGTATATTTTCTTCTACTTTTAATGGAGCATAGTTAAAGTACGACAGTTATTTCAAGGTCTAAGGAGTGTTGACAGAAAACCATTTTTTCTAAGCGTGCAGGAACTTTGGCAGAGAAATAAACTAGTTTTTAGAAAATTGTGATTTATTGTTTTTTTTTTTTTTTCATAAAATAAACTTTATTTTCACTGAAAACAGTTTTTTCTTCATGGCTGTGTTGAATCAATGCTGTTTACCCATGGAACCAAAGTAGTAAGTGAATGGCCTAGCTCACAGTTTTTACAGAAAAGTTGATTACAAACGAATCATTGGATACATACAGCCAGATTATCAAACCAAATAAAGCCCTGTTGAGAACCAAAGTGAAGACATCTCTGCCTTTCAGACAGCATGCACTGTAGTAGCCTCGTATCCACAGTATTTTCCTGCTCTTGGCAAAGGTCGCTGATCCCCTGGGAACGTGGAGCGAATTCCATCTTTCTGATTTAGCTGCCCAGTTAACATAGTTACCGCCTCTGTTTTCAGCTTACTACAGCTAAACATGCTGGGATGAGCGCTGCATTCTGCTCTCCAGCTGCACACGAACATCTGTGAGAACGTTGCTCAGAAACCCATTTAGTATACAGCCTGCTGTTACAGTGTGAGATTTTGATTTTATTTTAAAGGGAATTGTATAATATTCAATCCCTTCAGGCATTAAAAAAAGCTAACACTGTAGCTCCTGAGTCAGCTCAAATCCTAATTTTGAACAGGTGTGTCCAATTCTGGCTTGGAGAGCCCACTATCTTGAATGTTTTAGAGATTTTTCTGCTCCAGAACACCTGGTTTGAATGAATAACAGGCTTCTGCAGAACTTAAAGAGGTAATTCAGTCACAGAATCAGGTTTGTTGAAGCAGGGAGACAAGTCAAACACTCAGGATTAATATAACGACAATAAGTTTCAATAATTTTCATATATAACTGAAATATTGTGTTGCAGGGGATAAATCCACATCATTTCTCCCTCCCTCTCATTGGGCCTCATGCAAGAACATGTTCGTATTCTTATCCTAAATTTCTCTTACTTTTGTTCGTACAAAGGGTTCGTACGAACATGTCACAGGTCTGGACCACTCGTGAATTTTGTTCGTGTCTGAAAAAAATCTTAGAATACGAAAACATTGGTGAATGT